GAGAGAGAGAGAGAGAGAGAGAGATAGAGAGAGAGAGAGAGAGAGAGAGAGAGAGAGAGAGAGAGAGAGAGAGAGAGAGAGAGTGAGTTACGCCGAGACCGCTCACGAGGGCAGGAAAAACCACTAAGGGGAGCGAAACAACCGGATCAACACACTCGTACTCCTAAGCACACGGTCCCCAAGTTCAGTTTCCCCCTCCCCGCCCGGACGAGTACATACACACATGCATACAGACAATCAACAAACTTTGACAGGACATCTAATCATCCATGGACCTTCGACATCACTCATGCGCACCACCATCTGTTATCACTCGGGGCTTCACACACACGACATGCATAGACAAAGCAGCAATGGAGATAAAAGCGAGTCCTTCTTGTACACAAAAATTTCAATTAACTACCGCCCCCAGGCGCAGCCTTCAAAACTCCCCAAGACCACCAACCACCACGTCGTCACTCCGCCCGTCCTTGGGCTCGTCGAGCCTGTTGGGCGCCGCGGACTCTCGCGCATAGCTCGCGCAACATTGCAGCCGAGATCAAAGAGAGAGAGAGGAGAGGGTTGCGCGAATTTATAGCGCGGGAGGCGGCGGGTTGTCAGCGCGAGGTGCGGGCAGTGCAGGTTGTAGATGAGCCAGACAGGAGGAAGGTGGGGAGTTAGAGGGTTCGACCCGCGGGATGGCATCGTCCGAGGCATCTGTACTGGCGCCTTGTCCGCCGCGCAGGCCGGACAATTCTGGAAGGTGTATTTCACATCTTCCCGAATTCGCGACCAGTACCATCCGTTCTTCTCGATGGCTTTTTCTGTATACTTGACCATAAAATGGACCGCATCCTCTTCATGAGCGGCTCGTGTCCAATCGAACCTAGCGAAAGGGTGCGGAGCCGTCAACCAGCTAGACCCTCCGTCATCATCGACTTTTCGTTTTTGTAATGTCGGTCCCTGCCAGCGATAGTCCTGCGTCCGCTCCGTGACTCTCCGCCGCTCAGCTTTGGTAAGTTCTGACAGCGAGTCGCCTGACAACCTCCGTAGCAATGGAAGGTCCGTCCAGACTTCCGCCCGGCGGACACTTGGCGCAAATCCGTCGGCTGTTCGTGCATCCCGATACCGTTTCTCGATAGGGACTCGGTCCGTTCTACAGTTGGGACAGACCCACGTCTTTTCACTTCGGTACCTAACGAATTGTCCGTAAGACTTGACCGCTTGACACCGACGACACTGCACCCACAAAAAAAAACTGGGCCCTCCCGGATGTGACCCTTCTTGGTCCGGGACCATGGGCAAGGTACAGAAGAAACGGGGACTTAGATGTGTTTCAGGGGACGAGTAGGGGTTAGACGAGAGAGCGAGGGAGTTGGATGAGGGCAAAGAGATAGCGTCTGCTATCTCCGTCGAAACCTCCATTCCGGACTCAGGCGTCGTTCTTGCGCAGCACGTGCAGCTCCCCGTAGTGTGGTTTCGTCGTCGCGACTTCGCCTCCACGGAATGAGTCGCTCGTTGGCGGGACACTTGTTGGGCGGCAGGAGACGCGTCAATCCATCGGCATTACCATGCTGCGGCGTGGCACGATGGCGGATGTCGAAGTTATAGTCTTGCTGACGCACCGCCCACCTGCCCTGCGTTCTCGTGTAATCTGTGTTGTTGCATAGGGACATCAGCGACTGATGATCTGTTACCAGCACGAATTTCTGGCCATAAAGATACGATCGGAAATGCTGGATCCCCCACACCACCGCCAGACATTCGCCTTTGCACGCTTCGTAATTAGCCTGCACCTGGCTCAGCGTCTTGGACAGATACTCAATGACGTGTTCCCTTCTGTCCGCCCCGTGCTGAGTCAGCACCGCCGATATCGCCTGAGGCTGCCAGTTGGTGTACAGTGCGAACGGTTTTGTCGGATCGGGACGCGCCAACACAGGAGCAGATGTCAGAGCCTCTTTCAACGCCTGAAACGCCGCTTCGCATTCTGGCGTCCAGATCAGTTGTTCCTCTTTCTTCAGCAGGTTCGTGAGGGGCTTCGCTATACCGGCGAACCCCTTGATGAAGCGTCGGTAATAGGATGCCAGCCCTAGAAAAGCCTGAACCTGGGTGAGTGTGACCGGCGCCGGGGCTTCTTGAACTGCTGCCACCTGCCTCGGATCCGGTTTCAGTCCATCGATCGTGACGATGTACCCCAAGAATGAGATCTCCGACAAGAAGAACTCGCTTTTCTCCAAGGCCACTTTGAACCCCGCATCCTTTAGTGCATGCTAAACCCACTCAATGTGTTCCACGTAGTACTCGTGTGTTTTTGAAAAGACCAAAATATCATCCATGTACACAATCACGCAGAAATTGGTCAGGGGCTGGGTTAGTCGGGTTTTGTTAACGAACTCAGCGAAGGCCATATTCATGGCCCGCAAAAATGTTGTGGGGGTGTTACAAATTCCCATGGGACACCGGACCCATTGCCACGTGCCCTCAAATAGGACAAAAGCGGTTTTGGGTCGGTCCTCCGATCGGACTGCGACATGGTGAAAACCGTGTCGGATATCGAACTTGGAAAAGACTCGTGCGGCCCCTATAGCATCTAACACATCGTCGATTCGCGGCAAGGGATACACATCTTTGGTAGTGATAGCGTTCAATTTACGGTAGTCGATGCATACCCGGACCGAACCATTTCGTTTTGGCACGAGGACCACGGAAAAAGACCACGGTCCCAGCGATGGTTCGACCCACCCCAACCGCTCGAATTCCCGTACCCTTTCCAACGCCAACTGTCTTTCTTTAAGGGAATATCGGTACGGTCGGCAATGTATCGGGGCGTGATCCCCGGTATCAATCGCGTGCTGTATCAAAGGGGTTAGCCCTATATCGTGGTCCTGAATACTGACGGCCTCAGGATACGCCCGTATAACTGCCAGGAGGAGGCGTCAGTATTCATCCGGAACACGGGCTGGAAACTGAACTTCTACGGTTCCCCCAGGAAGGGAGACCGTCGTCGTAACCGTGGGGACCGCCTCGTTGGCATCAGGCGAGGCACCAAACAAAGAGTTGTCGGTTTTCGTCGAAAGGACAGTCGCAATAAGTTGACTGTCCACCGGGCTCATCGACTCGCTTTCCATGTCACTTTCACTATCCCGTTCGGGTTCGGCCGAGGGTTCAACGGAAAAGACCTGCGTCAGTTCCCTCGGTCCCCATCGATATTCCCTTGTTCAGAGTTGAAACAACACCCCGTCTTTCAAAAGTATCGTGGCTTTTTCATTCGTGAGTAGGGGCCGTGGGGGTCGAAAAGATAAATCGCACAGTCCCCTCAGCTCGGTTAATCTTTCAGGTAGGGGGCCCGTCCTAACATATAAGGACGCAGGGGGTTCCGAAAGGTTTGCTATTCGGGACACCCTCAACAGGGGTTCCCCCTGCACCACGGAGGAGAACGCGTGCGACCAGTTGGAGTCGCTCCGAACTATTTCCAGTGGTTCTCGCCGCCAAGATTGGTGCCACCGATCCTCAACTCAGATCGGATATTGGTCGGGTACATCAGCCTCGTCAGTTTCCGTCAATGGTTCATTTTTGCCTGGTGACAGGCGTCGGATTATGTTGATTTGATGGGCTTTCGTGGTGAGTAGAGGCGCCGGCTGGATGCGCATGCGCACCGCCAGTCTCATTGGTATCGTGTGGGGTTTGGGGTGGGCCGATGTGAGCACCACCTTACAGCTGTCAAAGTGCATTCGCGCTCCAACTGCCGCCTGCCACGGAATGCCTAGCAGAACATCATACGCCTGTACATCCAGCACGATTATGTCGCACAAACAATGCACCCGCCCCACCCGTATATGCACGTTCGTTATTCGCCCCTTACAATGAATACTGTCTTCCGTAGCGGATATATACTGTTCATCCGGTCGGAGGGGTTGAACCTGTCCCTCCCTTCCCAACTGTTTCGTCAACCTCCAAGAAATGGCGACCGCAGACGATCCCGAGTCTAGGATGGCGGCCGAGGGATTTCCCCAAACCTCGCAGTCACACTCAACGCTTTTCCAGGTTATAGGATAGGCTCGGAGGAATACCTCGGGTTTTCCTGAGGCGAAGTCTACGGTCTAGATCATTCCTATTCGGTCGGCTTCCTGCACCTTTGAGGTCGAGGGCTGCGACTCCCTGCTTGTGGGTAGGTCCCGTAGGACCGAGTTTTTGCCCTTTCGACTTTCCTCGAATCGGTGCCTGTTTTTGAGGCATCGTTCAATTAATTTTTCGTTAGCCGTTTCGGAAATGGTTAGCAGATAGGGAATAGGGACGAGGATCCGAAGATCTAGAGCCTTCAAGGCATCCAATAGGTCGATATGGCCATCCTTGTATTGAGGACCAGGCACCGCAAGGTCTTCGAACCCTGGTCTCCACGGCCCGAGGTCGCTTTCCTCGGTAATTCGTTGGACGTGACGTATCACTCCGATGGTCCCGGGTTCGAACATCGCCGCGGCCATGTATTCATCGGGCCCTATCTCGGTGGCCGCAGGGGTCACCATTTCCGTCGCCCCGGTATCCATCATCGTGGCCACCCTCCCCTGTCCTGCAGCGGTTGGAGCAGTCAACAGGATTTGGGAAGGCCCAGTGGGCCCACCCTGAGCTCAAGGTTTCGGGCAATCTTTCGCAAGGTGACCTGGCCGATTACAATTATAGCAGCGTAGGAGCGGGACAACCCTGGCCACGACCGGTCTTATCATAGGGGCCCCGGTCGTCATAGCCGCTTGTTGCCGTTGGGCAGCAGCTAGGCGTTGCCGCTGCAGGCTCTGTACAAACTCCGTCAGCAGGGAAACTACCGTAACTAATTGGGCCGCGACCTCTTTCATGGACACGTCTTCCTCACCCCGGCCTCCTTGTGCTTGACTAGGGCAATGGGAGGCCGAAGCAGAGGAAGAAGCTTTCCAATCCACACATTTTTTTGCCGGACCCTACCCGAAGCGATCTTCGAACATTCGTGCCGTAGCGGAGTAGCTATTGTGCCGAACACCCGAAGGGTCATCTTCGTCGGATTCGGAGTCCAGGCCCACATCGTAATTTTCTTTTCCGTACTTAATTGCGTACTGAATTAGCTCCCTCAGGGTATGTTCTATAGGGCTGCATTTCTTGCGGATCTTTTTCCGCAGACGAGAATCTTACAATCCTCTGACGAAATCAGTCCGTACCATTTTCTCGTCCACCCCGGAGCGTTCGGCTAAGTACGTAAAACGTTCAGCATATCTAGCCAAGGTTTCCCGAGGCTGCTGCGTGTATTCCTTTATTAAACGGAGGCATTGACCTGGTGCGGTGTGATCAAATCTATCGAGAAATTTCCTCAAGAAGGCTGCCCAATTCGTGAAGGGGTTATGTCCATACCACTCAAAAGCGGTTCCGGCTAACCTTCCGAGAATTCGTTCTCGGAGCAACTGATCCGACCAGCCCTGCGCTTTCAAAGCAGCTAGCCAGATGCGAGGGTTGGTGTCATCTTCAGAGAAAATGGGAACTTCGGAAGGAGGAGGTACAAATTACAGGGGATGATTGGCCATCCCTGCGTGGTTATCACCGTCGTTTTCACCCCCAATTCCAGGTTCTACCATCGCGGGAGGCGGGTTTCGATCCCGGCCTCTCACTCGGTTTTGATTGCTATTCGCGGGCCGCCGGTGACGGGGAGCCAGCCTACTCGAAAGCGAAAAATCTAATAAGAAGGATCAAAACGAAAAACGTTCAAACAGGGTAATCGTCCTAGGAAAACCTCGGAGCCGAAACGAATCAGCTCTGATACCAACCTCACGCCCCCTCGCGACCTCCCGTACGGGGTTGCTGATCAAAGTTCTAGGAGGGGCGTGGCCGAGGATTTTTGGCCGCAAGGGTTGAGTCTCCCGGACGGAACAGGAGCCCCTCGTTTCGTGCCAGAGGTTTTCCCCAGAGTCGAACTGTCGTCGCGGAGTCCCGTGGGGGTCGGATCACTCCGAAACGATAAAATCAAAACGGTTTCCGCGAAAATGGACTGCTGTCATGCATCGGGACGGAAAAAGGCATCAAGGAGAGAGGGCCATGGCGGCGGAAGACAAAACTTCGGCCGTCAGGGGTTTGGGGGATAGGTGGTGTGTTCGAAGCCTTCAGGCCTCATCATCGGCCCCACAAAGTGGCCGAACCCTCGGGTCTTTGCTGTGGAGGTGGTTGGTTCGAGGCCTTCAAGCCTCCGCGTCGGACTCACAGAGTCCGCGCAAAAGTTTTCGGGAGGGTAAAGCGGCGGGAGGACTCGCCCGCATCTGAAATCGAAATTGCGCGGGCAGGAACAGCCGTCGCCAAGAACACGAGTCCCCCTGGCGACACCAGCGACAATCAAACTGCGGCCTCCACGCGGCGTGAGACCGACCAGGGCAACACCGTTAAACCCGTATAAGGCAATATTAGCGTCGGGGAATCAAAACGATCAATCAAAACAAACCCGTTCCCCCTTATCTCACAAGCCCAGGCAAGTCTTGCCAACACACTTGCTCCGTCCGCCTCAGCGCGCGCCGTACGTCCACATCGCAGTAGACGCTGTCGTCATCTGCGATGGGGAAGGTCAGTAGCGAGATGAGTTGATCGGAGGTACGTGATGAACACGGGCAAGGTCCCGCGTTCCCGGTCATCCGAACCAACACCGAATTCATACAACAATCGTCGCAACTCTTCTTTCTCTAAGGTGGGTGCGTCGAGGGAAGACGACGAAGTCTAAGCTCTCTCCCCTTGCGGGGGCGTCGACCGTCCGCG